CCTTTATTCTTTATTTAATTTGATCGAATGGGAATATGACGTATAATCATATTAATTAGAGCATTATTGCCATGATTACCATAGCTTCTATTTGCAGCACATATTTATTTTTAGCCGTTACCCGTAGTTTTCTTCCTGCTGACCGCGGTAGGGGATGAAAGAAATTCCACTTCTTTTATTTTGGAATATTTATGAAGGAGATTTGTTGAGAAATGTAGATTCTTTTTTGCCTGGTATATAGTTCTGATGATTGAACTCTCATATTTATCGACTCCTTATGTTCAGGCCCATATGCACATATGTATATAGATTTTTATTCCTTTACTCATTTTGCATTGTGTATATAAGCGGACGTATATGATGTCCTGACCTAATCGAAATTAATTTTGTAATTTCTGCGTTAATTGGCACATCTTAGACTGCTTTTGAATGCCATACAATCTGTGCCAGCTGTTTTTTTTAAGAACGTGACGATGTAGGACTGACTAACTAATAATATGGTGGAAATTGGAGGTGGCTTATTATTTTTAACTTAACATTATCGGCGTACTTGTCTTTTAACGTTTACCCTAGCCTCCATCAATATTTTGATTCCTGATCAGCAGGCGAATCTATCTGACCTAACGCACACTGGACTCACGCTGAGCGCATATGTGTTTTTGCATATTTTGGCAAGCACAACATTTCACTCGACTTATCTTTTCATTTGTATTAGCGCTGGGTACTTTGGCCAATATGCCAAAGCCAACGCGTTTATTGTCTCAAGTCAGCCTTCCCTATGAATATAAAAATAACCTTTAATTGTTAGTTGTATGAACAGACACGGGGCGTGGCTATGAGATCTTGTTTAGCCCTTATTTTAGCCAATAATAACATGGCCCAATTAGAAGTTTTTGTCTTTCAAAAGGCGCTTATAGTTCTCAAGTTATTAGTTCGTTATATGGACGATTACTTTGCTGTTTGGCAACATGGCAAAGATATGCGAGGAAAAGTTGAGTTTTGAGGAAGCTCTTGTTTCATAATTGTTGAGCTTAGTTTCATTTCGAGTGAAAGTGTTTGTCATGAGATTAGGAAGTCGGTTCCACCAGAAGACGATGGCGGATTCATCTTGACCAGCTGTCGATTGGCTTTACTGGAATATTCATGCTGATGCTGTTTCCGAGCTAATCTCCTTCGATTCCGGTGAAAAGTCGCTAAGCTTTCGTCCGTCATATGACGAACATCATCAGAGCAAGGAATCAGCTTTACAACCAAATTCAAGCTATTGAGTCAAGAAAACTCACCAGCAAATCCCTAAAAAGCGGTACATATACTTTATATCTTGTCTCTGATCAGGTATAAAGTGATTTGGTTAGTTGCAGTCATATGTCAACCTTAAAGCCCCCAAACTAACTAACCAAATCACTTCATACCTGAACAAAGAGATCAGGTATATATTATATATACCGATTTTTACGGATTTGCCGTTGATTTTTCTTGACTCGTTAGCTTGAATTTAGTTGTGGCGATGATACCTTGTTCTGATGATTTTCGTCATATGACGGACGAAAGCTTATCACCTTTTCACATGAATCAAAGGAGATTAGCTCGGAAACAGCGTCAGCATGAATGTTTTAGTAAAGCCAATCGACAGCTGGTCAAGAGGAATCCGTAATCGTTTTCTGGTGGAACCGACCCAACACTTTCACTCGAAATGAAGTAAGCTCAACAATTGTGGCAAAGATAGTTTGAGTGAATTGCTTTAGCTAATAAATTGAATAGATGTAAATACTAAGTTTGCCATAGAGTTTAAAAAGTAAAATAAATTGCCTGTTTTGATGTATTAGTGAGAAAAGAAAGTAATAAGCTGGATGAAGACTTATGTAGGAAACCCACATACGCTTGTTTCCTTATTCATTTCTTCTCAAGCCATATGTATAGAGTTAAAAGAGGAGTTATGTACTCTATGATAATATGGAGTCTGTATCTAGCAGCTGTAAGCAAGAGGGACCAGGAGATTGGTCGATTAAGATGTATACTATTTCAAAACAATTATCCATTAGGATTAGTATAAAATTGCATATCAATCGTCGCTAACAAGATAAGGGGAGTTTGTTATCTGGAGCAGATAGATAATTATACTCCTTTCCTAATTTTTCCTTCTTGTATGCTTGCGAAAAAGTTGGGTGATCTACTGAGGAAGTGGAACATCAAAACAATGTATAAAGAGAAATTAACACTCGTCAGTAATTAATTCGTTTAGATAATGTTTAAACCATTGTTCTAGATCAGGCTGCTACAAGGTTTTGTGCTCATATGGTAAGGTGTATGTGGGGGAAAGTTGCCGACCCATCCAAAAGAACTTATTCGAACACAAAAAACGCTTGTAAAGGTATATGGATCCAGAAATCTGAGACCACTGAACACATGGCTGATACAGGGCAATCAATAGACTGCTCTAAAACACACGGTTTTGCGGGTTATGTGGACTACACATCAAAGCGTATGATTAGGGTGTATAAAAAATTTAACAAGCCAGTCAGCGAGTAACGGATGTGGTAAACTGAGTAGGAAGTATTTGTGGCTGTTGGATAGGCTTAAGGAAAGGGAGATATGATCATAAATTAATTTATTTATGTAAGGAAACAACTGCCACCGAACGTACTTCCGGTTCGGGAAGTAACTTTACTCATTTGCAAGCATGTAGAGAAACCAATCAATTATTGGGACGTCTTATTAAAATAGGGAAGTAATGTGCATACTCAAGCGACCAGGGTTGCATCCGGCCACATTTCCTCTTGGTTTAGTATCTTTTTCTTTTATTTCGTAAGGTATGGATTCTTGCTCTGTCTGTCACAGTACAGACAAAAGCTTAGCACCATTTCATCGTCGCCGTAGGACGATGAGCCGAGGACTTGACTAATAATTCAACAGTCTTACCTATGCGGCAATTCTCTTTCGGATTCATGTGAAACCTCATCAGAAATTACTTTCTTAGACTTTCCTTTCGAAATGGAGATTCATATATACATATGCTTTTATATATCTACTTTTTTTGCAAAATAAGGTGCATATATGCCTCAAAAGAAGTTATTTCCCTATTCTGCACACAAGTACTGGCTTCTGGGACTTCTTTTGCTTGGTTATAGATATTTTACTAAACGCTGGGCTATTTAAAGTGTTTTGCACTAATTCACAATTACGGGTGCCACAAACCTTTTTGTATACTATTTTGAGGGACGATTGTCTTATCTTACACGTCTTTCAAATGATACCTATCTTGACCACGAAGTTAACCATATATAAAAAATTCTCATCTTGGAATGCATATCTCTATACTAATAATACTTCAAGATTGTTAAACCTTCATTAAAAGAGAAATATTCTCTTCTTTTTAATAAACTCACATGTTGCTTTCTCAAGTGCCATAGGATCTAAATTGTACCCTCCCTAGATACTATATTATTTAATATCTTGGCCAACGAACAACTACTCAAGTAGAACAATATGTGTGAATGTTGGAGTACCTTACCTTTCGTTTTAAATAGCGAGTGAGAGGGATTCGTAAGTTGGTTCCATCGGAGACTGGGAGGGGGGTGCCTTACGGCTGTGGTTGTAGGTTTGTGCAAATAGGTCCTCGGCACACCGCCCTACGACTCCGATGAATCCTTGCTGAGCTTTCGTCCGTCAGAGCAGGACACCATGTTTAGCAATAATTCACCAAAAACAGGAAGCCAAAAAAGTGACCCATCACAGCCTTATATGGAAACAACTTACGAGTCCCTTCTACTCACCTCTTCAAAGCCAGTTTTTATACATAATATGTTCAAATGCCATTTTAAAACAATTTATGTCTTCACTAGTAAAAAGGAAATTTATTAGAATGGAACGGATCTCAAAATTGTGGGCAGTAGCGTATTTAGCTCCTTCCGCAGTTACATTTCCCTGGTTAAACTTTTTTTAATCGAATTTGTTATCTTAAGTAAAAGTTCACAATAATATTTTATCTTATAAAATATTTCATTCTCGCTACAGAAAAAATATTGTATTTTACGTTGCATAGGAGATTTTCTACCAAATGCTATATTTTCTAAACACCTGAGACTGTTTGCAAAATGTTTTTTGTTCGTATTATTCTCTCAATGAATCTCAGCAGATTAATTGAAACCCAGTTTCTATTCGTATCTATAATGCTAAATGCTTTTATAAGCAGGCATTACTGCAATCTCTTGCGCAATTCAAGATTCTGGAAAATCAAATCTTTTTGCACTATCATAATCTTTGTAACCGATAGCTGTAGATCAATTTGGAAGCTTTTTGTTCGTCACTTATTCTTGAGTTCACATATTTTACCAATATACACTTTTTTCATCATTACTTTTTTTCAAATTTATTATAGATGGACTTTTCTCAACTGAGCCGGGTAGGTCTGACCCTAAATGTGATGTGCTTAGCCAGACTCGATGAGGCCCGTGATCGCCTTCTGCGCAAGCTGACATACTCCATGCGTCATCCCCTTCCAGACAAACTTGGATCTCGATCAGGTCAATCAAGAGAGCAGCAGCAGACCCAAAGCCGTGTGCTCTTTGGCTGTCGCAATAATTTCCGCCGTATTCCTCTGGTGTTGCATAGGGCACGGGAGAGATGGACTGCTGCTACTCGTAGCGGTGTCTTTTGCAATAGCTTTAGAGGGGTTAGCAGCGATATTCAGAATGTGGATGAACTAGGCACTTGGAAAGAAGAAGACTATGCTGAAAATTTAATTCTGAGAAAGGATATTCGAAATACAGAGGAAGACCAGATGGCGCTAGAGCAAAATGAGAATATATTATTGGAAGCTAGCGAGTCTATATTAGGAAGAGAAATCACCAAAAAAGACCACTCATATCTTAATCTGGATTCACTTAAAAATACAGATAATGAACTCAACACAACATCCTCTTCCGTGGACCGCTTGTTTGACAACCTGGCATCGACATCTTTTGCTCAATTAAAGTCCAACTACACAGTTAACAGTTCTTCTGCTCATCCGACACCTTATTCTCACGTTACTCCGTGCGATTTTGGGGTACTTGGACAGTCTCCGACTTCCCAACATCGTTCGTGTAAAGCTAACAGACTATTGTCCACGAGCGGGAAGGTTACTCTATCAGGTGCCGCCTACAATCAGGTAATCACTTATCAACTCTTTGAACTTTTTAAATAGTCGTATGGTGTTCGAGAGTGTAGTTACACTGATCTGACTAAAATCAGCTTAATTTGCGTACTTCGACGCGAGTATCTCAATTTTGATTTAACTTATTCCTCAGTATCTTCAAACAATATCGCATGGGCACTCTCCACCGAGTGGCACACAATTTTATCATCTCAGCTATTATATGTCTTTATTTAGTTAGCCTGGCTACAGGATACTTACTACTAAGCTATGTTTCATATTGAAGTGTATCCTCTTGTGATGCTTATGCTCCTCTTATTAATTTGGCTACCGCTCTACCAAGGAACCAAAAATCATTAAATGGGTAAATGGATCTAATGCGATTTGCCAAGGATTATTTATGAATCAGGGGCGTGGAACATTTCATTTTAGTATTAAATATAAGGGAATCATTAAAAAAACCCTTGGCGGATAGAAACGGTTTAGTTTCCTTTCTAAACCTTTCCAACACCAGTCACTAGTTTGATTCAGAAAGGTTCCTCGGCTCTTTGTGTTAGCATCAAATGAAGTCAAAACAAAATATCACTTCTTTTTTCACTTGATATACGATTTGACAGGAATTTTTGAGTTTCTGCATATTTTTAATGGCCATTTTGAAATCGTTTCAGCAGCTAAATTACGACAACTTCATAAAATAGTTGTATCGATTTATAATTATATTCCCTTTAGTCAATATCCAGGGATTTGAGCCTTCCTTAAGTACTTGTGTTTCTGATATATTTTACAGAATTTAATAAGGTTA